TACATTCCTTATCTGTTATAATACCACTAGTGTGCTGTCATGATATTTTATATAATATATTATAATCGGTATCTTGTTGGTTAGTGTGTAATCATGGTATTCTAAATAATACCGTTTGGACGGTATCCTGTTGGCAAGTGTGCTGTCATGATATTTTATATAATACCTTATGGTCGGTATCTTGTTGGTTAGTGTGTAATCATGGTATTCTAAATAATACCGTTTGGAGGGTATATTGTTGGTTAGTGTGCTGTCATGATATTTTATATAATACCTTATGGTCGGTATACTGTTGGTTAGTGTGTAATCATGGTATTCTAAATAATACCGTTTGGACCGCATCTTGTTGATTAGTGTGCAAGCATGATCATTTTTTTTTGAAAATGTTAATACACTCTAGGAGTTCATGAAATTTTAAATCATTAAAATGAACCTGTGACTTTAATGTGGTCGTTTTGGAATTGATACTTGAAAACAGTTCAATTTTTGACTCTGCCAGGTACGGGAGAAAGTTTTTGCCATTTTTGAAAATATGCCACAACAGCGGTGAATTAGAAATAACAAAGATTAATATATATACACCATCATCCCCTTCGTCCAGTCACTCTCGCTCCCAGAGCTCATTTCGCACAGCTCAGCTGAGAAAGAGCGACACCAAGTGTCACGGTTAGGTTACGTTATCTTTGAAGATAACCAGCTTTCCTACCACATGTAAGTTACTTGATATTGTGTTTAATATCATTTTGATCTGCAAATTATTTGGCTCGAGAATTTGTGATTGGATTTATTTGCCAGATTTTTGAAATAAATTTATAAAATTCTGCTGGCAGCAGTATTGAATTATACCATAATTAATCACTTAACGTTTGAAATATTCCACTTAGTGATATCTACTCGATTTAGTTTTAAATTCCATACAAGTAACAAAAGTTTTTAGCAAAGTCAAATATTCAGTACTGTTAGTTTGTTGTTAATCACAGAGATACATAATAGGGAATTTCTATTGTGCCCACTACGGGTATCAAAACCCGATTTTCAACGTTGCGACTTTCAGGTTTACCACTGAACCACCGTGGAGTTATTTAAGACTGAAAGTTCACTTCAATAAGTTGATGGTGTATGAGCTTCATGTTTTGCAAATAGAAAATGAGAAATACGGTTTAGTTATCTGTTATAATACCAAAATGTATATATCATAAGTACGATTTGCTTATCTGTTATAATACCAGAATGTACATATCATAAGTACAGTTTAGCCAAATAATACCGTTTGGATGGTATCTTGTTGGTTAGTGTGCTGTCATGATATTTTATATAATATATTATAATCGGCATCTTGTTGGCTAGTGTGTAATCATGATATTTTATATAATACCTTATGGTCGGTATCTTGTTGGTTAGTGTGTAATCATGGTATTCTAAATAATACCGTTTGGACAGCATCTTGTTAGAATTCAATTTCAGTAGCGTATGCAGATGTATCGTCATTTTGCACAAACCTTGGTACTTAATATACTGGCGAATACTGTAGTTCTTCACGAGGAAGTTCACTTTAGACATAAGTCAATAACCTAAGTTTATTTGTTTCTGGAATTTCACGCAAAGCTACTCATGGGGTATTTGCGCTACGAATCTAAGCTAAATTAACTTGGTCTAAAAGTAATGGAATTGTATCGAGTTGCCAGGAGCCCCAGAATGCTCTTTAATATACATAGTCTCAGCGTGAAAGAAAAACACTTTCCTAATTAATTTCAACCTCCAATTTATAATATTATATTAATAACGATTTTATACATCTTAATCAAAAAGGTTATATAAAACCGTTTCTATATTATTCAAATAAATTTTATTGACAAGAAAATTTGTTTCAGGAAAACATTCTGACTTTGGGTATTTTTTACTTTAAATAATTGTATCATTAACAAAGGAGAATTTGACAGCATTTTTATGTCTTTATTAGAAACAATATTTAATTTATTCTATAGTATCTTCTACTTTTTTATATTTTTGCAGAATTATGAATATTTTTTTTTCTCGGTAGTAAATAATTTGCATTTTAAATATTAACCTCTGTCACTAGAATACTTAGTATCATTTAGTCATTCCTGTCCTTCCTTCATCGAGGTTTTCCAGTTATTGTTGAAAACAATTAACACTATAAATCTTATGTAGCTTTAAGTTAGATGGTAATTGATCTTCGAGATTACTTTATGGAAAGATCTTTGATAGTGAAACAAAAAAATTCCTAAACAAATTATAAACATAATTATGCTTCATTTCCACTATTATGTAAAGTAATGAAAACTTGATTACGTGCTATATCTAAAAGAAAATTTTGGTATTTCTTCACTATTCCTTACCATACGAATTGGAATGTATACGCAATACAACTTCCTCGTTCATACTGTAAATGTATTTAAATCTTTCACCACCGGAAATGAATTCAGTAGTTGCCATTCTTTTGTTTCTGTCAATAGATTCAATAACCTCCTCTGAAATCATATTATTCATGTAATTGATTTGAATATTTGTTGAGTAACTATCCAACGATTCAGGCGGAGATGGACCTAGTAGAAAACAAAGATTAAAAATTCTAATACCATTTGGTGATAAGACATAAACATTTATTAAGTTAAGATTCAGATTTTATTTAATAATGCTTGTTATCCCTTTGTAATGAACTATTGTATTGCTAACACCAATTAAAGAGAAAAAAATGTGAAAATTAAACATTTTAAATTTGACACCTAATTTTGCACTATGATAAATTCAGTTTTTGTTGTTTTTTTACTATTCTATCAAGGAAACAGCGTGATAAGGTTGTTAAAATGTTTTCTTTTTGCTTCTGAAATACTCCCGACAGATCAGTGACAAGTCTGAAGACTGGTAAGGTATCGAACTGCAGCGGTCAAAGGACACATGGCTAACTGTGTAGTCTTGTGTTTACACACAAACAATCAAAATGAAAACAATTCCCACTGAGAAAAGTATCTTACCAGGATTTCCACTTTGGGGGACACAAATCGCAGGGTTGTGCTGACACCAAGAAATTTTGACAATAAATAAGATCAGCGTCGACTTGTGAAAGAGTTCTGAAAACAATTATAATATGTTCCATAATTATATAAAATAAATAAATAAATTATTATTAAAACTCTTTAATATAAAACAAATCACAACATTAAGATAATGTCACTTATTTTGTTAGACTTACCAAACAATTAAAATGCGAAAGCTACATAATTCTAAATAATACCGTTTGGACAGCATCTTGTTGGCTAGTGTGCTGTCATGATATTTTATATAATACCTTATGGTCGGTATCTTGTTGGTTAGTGTGTAATCATGGTATTGGTTTATCAATACAGAGGTCTATTACAGAGTTCTATCAATACAGAGGTCTATCAATACAGAGGTTTATCAATTCAGAGGTCTATTACAGAGTTCTATCAATACAGAGTTTTATCAATACAGAGGTTTATCATTACAGAGGTCTATCAAAACAGAAGTCTACCATTACAGAGGTCTATCAAAACAGAAGTCTACCATTACAGAGGTCCATCATTACAGAGGTTTATCAATACAGAGGTATATCAATACAGGTTTGTCAGTACAAGTCTATCAATACAGAGGTTTATCAATACAGTTTTATGAATACAGAGGTTTATCACTACAGGTTTATCAATACAGGTCTATCAATACAGAGGTTTATCAATGCAGAGGTCTATTATAGAGGTCTATCAATACAGAGGTCTATTATAGAGGTGTATCAATACAGCGGTTTATTAATACAGAGGTCTATCAATACAATTTCTTAACACCATTACAGAGGTCTATCAAAACAGAAGTCTACCATTACAGAGGTCTATCATTACAGAGGTCTGTCATTACAGAGGTCTATCAAAACAGAAGTCTACCATTACAGAGTTCAATCATTACAGATGTTTATCAATACAGAGGTATATCACTACAGGTTTATCAATACAGGTCTATCAATACAGAGGTTTATTAATACAGAGGTCTATCAATACAGACTGTATTGATAGACTTGTACTGACAAACCTGTATTGATATACCTCTGTATTGATAAACCTCTGTAATGATAGACCTCTGTAATGGTAGACTTCTGTTTTGATAGACCTCTGTAATGGTAGACTTCTGTTTTGATAGACCTCTGTAATGATAAACCTCTGTATTGATAAAACTCTGTATTGATAGAACTCTGTAATAGACCTCTGAATTGATAAACCTCTGTATTGATAGACCTCTGTATTAATAAACCTCTGTATTGATAGACCTGTATTGATAAACCTGTAGTGATATACCTCTGTATTGATAAACATCTGTAATGATAGACCTCTGTAATGGTAGACTTCTGTTTTGATAGACCTCTGTAATGGTAGACTTCTGTTTTGATAGACCTCTGTAATGGTAGACTTCTGTTTTGATA